TATATATATATATATATATGAAATAAACATAATACTTATTTTTTCCAAGATTGACAAGCTATTCCTATAATGTACTTTTGATAAAAAAAATTTTCAGCTCGAAGTAGACTTTTTATCAAAAAGCTTTTCTTCAAATGAGGAATTTCAAAAACTATATCAAAAGCGCATTTTAGTACCTAGCTGAAAGTTTCAGCTGCTTGGGGCAGAAGAAAATATGCAGTCCTTTAAATAAATTGTACTTTATATAAATGGTGAGATAGGGAGTGAGGGAGAGGGGAAATTAAATATGATGGAGGTAAGGTATTAGCTACTAATATATATATATATCTATATATATATATATAGAACATAAAATCCAAAAAAAAAAAAAAAACTTCGAAAATATACGTAATTATGATTTTTATAAGAAAGTTATAACAATTTTCAGAACAATTTAGATTTTTTGAAATACAATCTATTGCCAAGTAAATCTAACGTCTAACAAATTTAATGGAAATATATCCGATCATATATATATATATATATATATATATGAAGCTTTCAGAATTACTCTACTTAGCATCAAATTCATTTATTTTATGGTCCATAACATAATATATTTTTTAGTTCAAATGATAAATATCTATGACTGCTATTTTAATTGTTACTAATGATGCAATTGAATACAATAGTTTAGAATTTATTATTGCAATAGATCACATAAAATGAAGAAGGGATTACCTTTGTTGGGTTAGGGATGAGTGACTTAAGCAGCTCAAACTTCTTCCCCAACCTCTCTCTCCTCTGCTTCTCATTCTTCTGCGTTCCACACTCCTCCAAACCCCTCATCATCATCCCCTTCCTCTTCCTGCACTCCATCTCACACCTCTCAATCTGCCCATACTCATGCATCAAACCAGCTTCTAAGACGTTCATATTCATCCCCACCCCCGGATCAAAAAAGATCGCCGGCATAACCGGCGGCGCGCCGTAGGACGAAATATCAGCCATCAAACCCTCCGGCAGGGAGTGAATGTTTGGGGAATCGAACTGCCGAAGGTAGTCCAGGCCGGTATCTGCCATCAAACCTCCTATGAAGTCTGGAGACTGGGGGTTAAACATGCTTTTGCTTCTCTATGGAGGAGGAGAGGAAAGAAGGGCTGAGCGGTTTCTATTTATGTAGCATCCTCCTGTGTCTGCACTGACTCTTTAGCATGCTGATATTATCTTTTGCTTCTTTCTGGAGCCTAGCAGCGATTATTGGTCTGTTTATGAGATTCTGTTTCTGGTGGGGCCCAGCTTCAACCTCCTTCAGAGTTCTGTTGTGGGACCCGCCCGCTGAGGCGCAGATGATCTTCCGTAGTTTTTGGATGCCGTCCGGTGGCACGTTATACGGCAGAGGTGGCCGATTGATCATGGAACCTTCAGAAAACTAAAATGTAAGCCATCTATTCAAAGCCATTAAGACGGAAATCGATTTATATATGGAATTACCTGATCACGTGACTGCTGTCAGTTAACGAATATTTCTTAAATGTACTCTTATAAATGGCTCATCATGCTATTTTTTTTTTTTCTTCTTAAATGTTTCCGCCAAAATAACTGCTGTGTTTATAAACCCGGGAGTTATTTTTGTTACAAACCACATCCTTGAGCCATCCATATTAGAGTTTCTCAGCATTTTGTATGTTCTTTGTGCGTATTAGTTGGTTTGTTCACGATTAACTCGGGAGTTATTTTTGTTGCGAATATAGAAATCGATCCACTGCTCAAATTAATATTTTCTCATGTTTGGCAGCAGATTTATTATTAGTTGTCATAGATACTTGAAATTAGTTGCTAAATTAATTGTTCTTAATTCCTTCTATGATTTGCCACAGAAGAAAAATAAATAATGAATTGACTTCATTAATTTTTTGATTGATTCTTTAATGAGCCTAAAGACATGATGAAATTAATAAATAGACGTACTGGCTCCCCTTGTTATCCCTCTTCGGCATTGGTAATTTTCCAGGTTTTTCTTCTGGTGTGTTTTGTTTAGAAGCTCTCAGGGAGAGAGAGAGAGAGAGAGAAGCAGAGGGGGAGAGGAGAGACAAAAATGTAGAAAAAGAGTGTTTTCTTGTAATCGTCAAGGTGATCGATAGATGTAATTCTTCAAGCTAATAAAATCTAGTGCAGCTCCATAGACGTATGCAATTTGCCGAACCACGTAAGTTTGTGTGTTTTGTTGTTTTTTGTTTTGCATTTTTTCTCGATCAGGTTTTTCACTTTTTTACTGTCGTTTTTTCACAACAATTTTATATCGTGATATTCAAGTCAGATTTGAGAGATTATGGTAGTTTTAATAAATTGTTAAAAGTGATTTTTATGATTTTTTTTTTTCTTGTTCATGTTAATTTCTACATTAGCAGCACTCAAAACATTAAATATTTTGTTTTAATCACCCACACTTTAAATATAATATTTTAACAATTATTTTCATAATAACCATTTCCATTACTCACTAATGAAACTTTTAAGTGAAAATTTTATCATTAAAATATTATATTTAAAGTTTGTCACCCAATAAAAAAACCACTCCCTTAAAAGCTATATGAAAGTGGGCCCCACTTTAAAATTTTAAAAATTTTTAAAAAAATGATGTTTATTACATGACGTAAAATAATTGGAGGGTGTATGTGCGGATTCCGTACCCAATAAACGCTCTTTAAAGGCAATCTATTAGTTCTTTTCCCCCCTTATTTGGATTTTCATTTTTGACCGCGTCTAATTACCAAGAAATTAGATCAAATAAGTAGTATTTTTTTTAATATTTTTTTCAATTTGATTGCCATCCAATACGAACTGAGTATTCAAAAATTACATTTGAGGATTATCTTATCTTCATTAAATTTTATTTTCAGATAATAATCAAATTAAAAATAGTTACCAAACAATAGTATTCATGATTCAAATTTGGAACCTCTAGACCATACTCATGCCATATTTCTATTTTCATAATTCCCAGGCAGAGCTACAATATTTAAATCATATTACATTTCGTAGCACTGTCAGCGAATGATGAGTTTGGACTGCTGTAATTTGTTAATTTAACAAAATTTTGACCGTAAATGATCTTTTTTGTGGTTATAATTTTAACATTAATTAATTATAGCATTAATTTATCTGAAGAAGAATTCTCTCTCTTTTTCTCTCTCTCTCGCTCGCTTGCTCTATTAGGGCTGTCAAAAAGGCTCATTGTTCATGAACAACTTGTGTTCGGCTCGTTAAGTAGCTCGTGTTCTGCTCGTTGG